CCCATCCTCCCGCCCTTCTGCTCCAGGAGGCCCTGAGCCAGGACAACTTTGACAGAATTTTGCAATAATTATCACTTGAAGAATTGCCACACAGGGGGAAGCGTCACAGGGGATCATGTCAGTGGGGAGGACCACTGACCAGCAGCCAGGGCGCCCCAGGGGCCCCAGCCCACCCGGCCCGCCGCCCTCCCTTCGGGGGGCTCCGGCTTGTGCCCATATGAAGCCCTCGGTCCCTCTAACACCATCTTCCCTCCCCCCTCCCCCATAGGAAATGGGCAGCAGGCCACCCCTGCCAGGTTCCCCCCAGCCCCGGTGAAGCAGGAGCCCGGTGAGAGTGCTGGCGCCCCAGGTCCCCACGAGGCCTCCCAGGACCGCAGTTTAGACCTGACTCTGAAGGAGCCCAGGTGAGGCGAGGCCCAGGCCTCCCAGCTCTGACCCCCTGCAGGAGGCTCTGGGGACAGCACCCTCAGAGCCAGACTCCATGGGGCCAGGGACCAACCCTTCCTGACAAGGGGTCATCCTCCTGCCCAGGCAGATGTAGCAGGCGGGACCAGAGCCCCAGGGGCCGGCTGGGAGGGGTGAGTCTCTGGGCCCGGTCCCACGTACCGTCTGAGCTAAAGCCCCTTGGTTTGTGTGTTCCAGTAATGAATCAAATGGCCACGCAGTCCCGGCAAATTCATCTCTTTTATCCTCGCTTATGAATAAGGTAAGAACCATCCATCACACGCCTCCCATTCCCCCACCCAGAGAAATTAAAACTGCGCTGGGGGGGTGGGGGGATGTGTTTGTTTTTTAATGTTTTGCCTCTAATAAGATGAGTTTGTACCATTTAAATTTTGAGGCCATTTTTCATCGGATATAATTTCAGAGCCACTGCTTACAAATTAATTTAATGAACTGGCTGAAGAAATATATTCCAGCCTCTGACACCCTTTTTTCCCTTCAGATGGAGGGCTCCAAAAGCTTTTCCGGAGCCCTCTAACTTCTTTCACTCTTGGTTATTAATTTTATTAATTTTATATATTTTTTTGTTTGTTTAAAAAGGTGGAGGGGGAGACCAAAGTGGGAGCAAAGCATCAATTTCCACTTTTCGGGTTGAGTAATGGTCTCGGACGCCTTCTGCAGAGGTCGCTCCAGAATATTTATTTTAAATAATGCAGGGTCTTTGTAAATTATACATCATCACAAATATATTTTCCCCCTTCACATGATAAATTTGACTACAGCAAGATTAATTAGGTTACCGTACACAAGTGACTGTTGAGGAGGGAGCTGGGCCCGGGCCGGACCTCACGGAGTGGGTCTCCTGCTGGGCCCATGGCCTCCCACTGGCCTCTGCCCCGGTCGGTGCGTGTGCCCTCTGCCTTCCGCCCTCCCCTGCTCGCTCTCTTGCTCCCCTTCTCCGTTCTTGGGTCACCGCTCCCTGCGCTCCCTTGTTCCTTCCTGTCGGAGACCCACAGCCCACGTGGGTCGAGCCTTTCCGCGGACTCCCCCGCCCCCTCCTCTGCCAGCAGCAGCGAGCCTGCCTCGGTCTCACCCCGTGAGCCTCCTTCCCTCCCTCTCTGCTCCTCCTTTGTGTGCCTTCTCTTGTTCTCAAGGAATTCGTGCGGGTTTCCCCACTCCCCCACACCTTGCTCCTCCTCCTGCACTTCTTTTGAAAACCTGGCAGGAGAATAACCAGGGAGCCGCTTAGTCTGGGGAAAGCTGGGCTGGAGTGTGTGCCCTGAGTCTCGGCCTCCGATTGAGTGATGGCTCCTAGCAGCACGGGGTTTGTGTGGCAGAGCCCCGGCAGCTCCACGGGGCCGGGGCAGCGCCGCAGGCTGCCCGCGGCAGCGTCCATTCAGTGAGGGCTCTTCCGTAGCCAGAGCCGCGTGGGGTCGGGCCTCCTCTCATCCCGGCTGCCAGCACCGCGATGCTCTGGTCAGTGTGGAGAGGCCAGAGCGGCCCAGAGCTGCCACTCCTCCCAGGGCAGTCGGATCAGGTGTCCTGAGGTCCCCAGCCTGAAGCACGGGCATGTCCCCCTCGCAGATGTCTCAGGGCAATCCCAGCCTCGGCAGCCTGTTGAACATCAAGGCAGAAGCGGAGGGGAGCCCCGCCGGGGAGTCCTCGCCCTTCCTGGGCAAGGCCGTGAAGGCGCTGGTTCAGGAGAAGTTGTCAGAGCCCTGGAAGGTCTACCTTCGCAGGTGAGGGGCTTGCCGTGTGAGCAAAGGGGGAGGGAAGGGCCATGCCCACTCGTCCCGGGGGCACGTGTTCCCCCCACGAGGCTGTTCCCCCAGCCTCGCCAGAGCTCCAGGGCCTCCTCTGAGCAGCCGGCCCCTCTGCCAGGTTTGGCACCAAGGACTTCTGCGACGCGCAGTGTGACTTCCTGCACAAGGCCCACTTCCACTGCGTGGTGGAGGAGTGCGGCGCGCTTTTCAGCACCCTGGACGGGGCCATCAAGCACGCCAAGTGAGTGGGGGTCCGGGGGCCCGTTTAAACCCAGCCCCACTTGTCCCAGCCTGGCTCGGGGGTGGGTGGGCCGGGGTGGGGCTAGGGGATGCACAGGCCTCTAGCAGCCTTCCAAGCAGGACCCGTGTGCGGTTCCCACGAGACCTCAGAACCTGAGCTGGCTTCTCAGAAGGTGCTGCCTGGCAAAAGGCAGGCTTCCTCATCTGCCACTGGCTCAGCCCCCAGCTGGGTCCTCTGAGCCCACCCAGGCCCCGCCCCGAGTAAGGGCTGCTTCCCCCACCGCCGGGGCCCATGCAGCCATCAGCCCTCCCTCCCTCCCACAGACGCTCCCGCAGAGGCAGCTGGAGAGGCCCAGCTCTGACCCTGGCAGGGACCCTAAGTGAAGGCTTTTCCAAGCCACAGTACTGCATTTGCAGATTCTCTTTGACCTAAAAATAATGAAATTAATTTGTACAATTCGTTGAGCAGCAAGCCCAGCCGCCTACTGTAATTGAACCCAGAACTGGTAAACATTTACAGCAGATCTTCACCGCTCCCTAAGCCCCGGGTCAGGCTCTTCTCACTCCTTAGGCAGCCCCAGCTGCTGGTCTGAGACCCCCCCCCCCC